AACCGGCTCCAGGAATGATGAGTGACACAATTAAAACACTTAGTAGCCTTGCACTATCACCATACATGTGTGCCTTAAGCTTACTTCAGAATTGTGTAGCTTGTGGCAGATGCTAAAAGAAAGACAGGACAATACAAGGTCAGACTACTGAGTTAGGGTTTTCCATTTACTAAATCGAAAGCCCCAGTAACCTGGAATATGTCATCACAATATCCAGTTTCCTTTAGGAGCTTCAAGGTGACTTGATCCTCTGAAGCAATGTTCATGATCATCTTTGGAAATTCTAACTGGCAATTGGATTTACTTTTGGGTTGCTATTGAAACCATAAAGCCCTATGATGAGACATCATGTCATGAAAAAATTTGGTTTTAGGAGTGGGTATCATGAATATACCATCATGGGAAAATCTGTCTGAGCACCAGGGTAACAGGAACTTGCTATCATGAAAAATTTTTAAGGCTGGGGTGAAGGGAATGACTTGTCATGTTAGAGGCTGATTAGAATCAGTGTATGTCCCATCCTTGAGCTATGACTGGAAGAGTGCTGGCTCCAGGGTGGATGGTATTTCCATGCTTAGGATCACATTCTTACCCAGTGTGACTGGCAAAGGTTGTATATTACAGAAAATTGAATGTTATGAAAAAAATGAAAAAAATTCACAAATAAGAAAGTGTTACTCATTGTTTTTTATACTGGCATGGAAAATAGTCTATCATCATCTAAATAAAAGCAAATCAGATGACAAATAGAGACGTTAGAAAATAGCAAAAAATTTAAAAATGCTTATTAAAAAAGAGAAAATAACACTGCAGAGAGGAGACATAGTCTTGTCACCACACACAAGTGTTTTGTGTGCACCCAGCCTACAGGCCACACACCCAGTAGAGTGGCCACTAAAGTAAACCTAATGACCGTATTTTGGGCCACACATTAGCAGTAATGCATCTAGACCCAATGGGGTAAGTTTGGGGGCCCTTCAACTATGTCAGGAGGTCTGAGGTTTCAAACTCTTCCTTGCAGTCTGTTTCTACCTCTTTATGACCATGCCCCCAGACCTATGCTAGGTCTTAGAAGCTGTAGGTCCAGGAGGAACATCCAAATTTCTAGACCTCAAAGCCACATTTTGGACTGATACCAGAAGTTAGTCTGTGGAAGCTGTATGTTTGGAAATTCTAGCCTGAGCATTTTTGTATCATCCTGGCCCTGGTAGGGTTCCACATGAATGGCCTGTCTGTCTCACAATCAATAGAATATTGAAGGGATATAGACAGCAATTACCACACCTGAAGGCATTCACAGAACCTGTGCAAAGCTAACAGGGTACCGATGGCAAGCAGACCAGCCAGCTGACCTAACTGGGACTGGGCTACTTGTGTTGCTGAAATATGCAATCCAAATATAATACTATACTATTTGCTAATTTGTTAAAAAGATATTTTACACTCACTTGGAGGAAATCACGTCTTGAGGAAATTCAAACTTTGGTTGCTTAGGAGAAAATCTTTATGGAATCAGAATTAATACATGAATTATACATATGATGTCAACTAAAGAAACAACAGAGCAAGCACAAAATGGTCAAATACCCCAATCTTAAAACAGCAGCCCTTCATCTTGAGAAATAAGCTGCTAGTAACACAATTAGGATGTCTATCATGCTTTCATCACAAGAAAAATCTTCTCAAGTCATATGAACCCAAAAATATATTATGACTGTATTTTATAATCATGGGTAAGAAGCAGATTCATTCATTCACTGAGATTCTGCAGGGATTCTCTTCCAGAATCCTACTATATATTGTATATTTAATAACAGAAAATACACATTTCTCATCCTATAGGTGCTTCCATCATTCTGCTTTCCTGACTAATTACATAAAAGTGAAATAACCAAAGTTATTTGCATTATACATGAACCTTTTCAATTAGCTTTAATGAGCAGTTCCTTATCATTTAAGTATTAGAACACAAAATATTCATTATATTAGATTAGATAAATTTTTCTAGCTTGTCTATTATCGTTCTGTATGCTTCATCATAACATTACAGTTTACAATAGTATAATAAAACTAACATAATTTCTTGAAAACAAGGCATTATTGTTTTTTATATAATTGAAAATACCTAGTCATTTATTACATGTTTAACACAAGCTTATTATCATATAAATAAAATGCCATGAATGTGCAAAATGATTCCAAAATGAATGAACTCGGAGTATGAAGAGACTTTATCTATGAAAAGACTTTATCCGAGAAATTATAATTAAGTTCATAAATATAACACACATGAATGAAATGGTAATACTTATCAACTCACTGTTATTCACAGTTCCCAAAAATCAAAATAAATTTAATAATTATTATCACAATAATGCATACCCACAACCTCAGATAACATCAAGGTGAATACAAGAACCTAATGAAAGGCAGTGGAATTCACAGGTCAAAATACAGCTAAACCAAGCTAACACATAGGACGTAATGCATTAGAAGTGATGAAAGCAAAGTAATTTAATTCAAGCAATTCCTAGTTATTTGACACTAAGTAATCTAACTGAAAATAACAATAAATACCTTTATTTGGCTTTTCTTGAAAGTCTGCTTCAGCCTTGGCCTCCTCTACCAGACTGAGCATACCGTGATCTCTTCCTTGATGAGCCTACTTGAACCTAGCATATGCTACCCTAAAATAAACTAGAATTAAACTTAAAAACAGGGTAGACTGAAACGTAAGAAATTCATTAATTGAGCACATTTCAAACTGCCCAATGTTGCCTTAAATTTTTATTCCTCTTTTCATTAATTTCTTGGAAAACAAAAGAGTACCATCTGATGATACTCAAAATGGTAATGTTAATGTTTGAAACAAATAAATGTGCTAGACATCAAAAGGACGAATGTGATTCTGTGTTCAGTATTGATGGGAAGAATGGGGCAGGGAAGGAATGTGCACTAAATTGTTATTGTTATCATTATTGTTATTAGTTTTATATTATTCCTATGGTCCATATCAAGTCCCACTGACATTTTTAATGACACGTTTGTACATCTGAAATTCTTAAATATGTAGTTATAGACTGTAAATTAACCTTTACAAAGGTAAAAAATGAAGAAGTACAACCTTTCAACATAACTGACTTTGAAAATATTTTATGAACAAATGGAATATGTATCGAGAATTCCCTATTAACCCTAATCTGGCAGTGCCAGAATTATCTGTGTGGTACTCATTCCGGTAATTATTGGCAACCTTCTACCCTTTCCAGCAGCGAGTTCGCTGTGTACAGTCAGCCCTTCTCACTCACTCTCAAGAGCGAGTCATGACACATATATCATGAACGGAGGGCTTTCCGTGATGGCTATAGCCATGCCTGGCAGCAGAGTGTTAACATATCCATGAAAAATAATTTCTTAATCTTAATGCATATATATAGTTCTTTGTAAATCACAAATGTTCCAGTATTATTTTTGGAAGCTATAATAAGGAAGCCTAAACAATAAAATCATACAGTAGTGCACAATGAAAATATATGGAGAATCACATATATATCTTTGGTTACGATAACATTGTAACTTGTATGTCATCCTACTCTAAGACCATGAATCAGAAAAAAATTATAGATAATGTTTTCTCCTCCAGTAGATTCTTACTTTGCATATTTTATCTCTTATTTCCGCTCTCTGACATATTTGGCATTTTTGTGTGTGTGTGTGAGCGTGTGTGTGAGCGTGAGAGTTTGAATGTGTGTGTGTGTGTGTGTGTGTGTGTGTGTGTGTGTGTGTGTGTGTGTGTGTGTGTGTGTGTGTGTGTGTGTGTGTGTGTGTGTGTGTGTGTGTGTATGTGTATCTGTGTGTGTGTATGTGTGTGTGTGTGTATCTGTGTGTGTGTATCTGTGTGTGTGTATCTGTGTGTGTGTATGTGTGTGTCTGTGTGTGTGTATCTGTGTGTGTATCTGTGTATGTATCTGTGTGTGTATGTATGTGTATGTATCTGTGTGTGTGTGTTTGTGACTGTGTTTGTGACTGTATATTTGTGACTGTGTTTGTGAGTGTGTGTGTGTTTGTGACTGTATATTTGTGACTGTGTTTGTGAGCGTGTGTGCATGTGTGTTTGTGACTGTATATTTGTGACTGTGTTTGTGAGTATGTGTGTATGTGTGTTTGTATGAAAATATATGGATAAACTGTGTTTGTGGGTGTGTGTGTGTTTGTGACTGTTTGTGAGTGTGTGTGTGTGTGTTTGTATGAAAATATATGGATAAAATAGCACAAATCTGAGGTTTGCTTCCAGGTCAGAGAAAACCAAGTATTTAATACTTTTTCCCAAATGCACTTACCAAATGCCATACAGTATTCAATACAACATAGTACCTAATGCACTGCAGTAATACATATTGTCTCCTTAGACTTCTAGACACATCAGTGTGTTGTGACCATTGTCCTGTTACTACAAGGTTTTCATAAGTGGATTCCTGAGGTAAATAATTAAGTCAAGGGCACAGATACATTGCCCATGCATACACCACACACAACCACCTTTCCATGTGTGAAAACCCTTCTGGTTCCTCAATCACTGACAAAATGCTCCACTTGCAGCCACACACAAAGACACTACCACACCCACACACTCACCATTCCCCCTCCCTCCCCCCCCCCTCTCTCTCTCTCTCTCACACACACATACACACATACATAAACACACACACACACACACAACTCCTTTAAGCATACGTAAATTATCAAGCCCTCATGCACACACACACACACACACACACACACACACACACACACACACACACACACACACACACACACACACACACACACACACACACACACACACACACACACACACACTCACACCACACACTCACACCACATACACAAATCTGTCCCATAATTATATTGGCATATTAGACATTATGAGCTTCAATAAATATGGCTGCTGTAAATTTGCAGATTTAAAAAGAACAGTAAGGCTTTGATAAAAACCAGACTTTATGTAAATACAAAATATTTGTTAAATTTAGAGCACAAATCAATCACAAACATTATAAGTAACAGTGTACAGTTTGGATATATAGATAAACATATTAAATGTATACAGAAAAACAGACATACATACATGGAGACAAACATCCAGAGAGAATGATTTACAATGATGTGGATACAAAAATAAAAAATGCTGGATGCTCAAGGAGCTGAACACTGGATATACATACCATATCATCACAATCAAGTCACAAACCTCAGTTTAATTCCTCCCAAAAAAGTATTAATAACATGACACAGATGCAAATACATGATCAATTGAAGACCACACTGCTTAGAAAATGTTAGCCATATATCTGAAAAAATAGGCCTAATGCTAAATCAAAACAGCTTTTTTCATGTGCCAAAGCCACCACAAATTATTGCTAAATTTCTCTAATTTTAGTTCTGAATATCCTCAGTTTGGACAAAACAGAGAAGATTGTAAGAGAGGCATGGTTTGGTGAGCTATTGAGAAAATATACCAGTAATAATATTATTTTGGTTTTGATTTTTAGATTAACCTTACAAACTCT